GAGGCAGAGGGAGGGAGAGAGGGAGAGAGAGAGGGGGGGAGGGAGGGAGGGAAAGAGGGCTGGGGGCAGTGGACGAGATGGGGGAGGGGGGTAAACGGGGGCGGCGGGGAAAGGACGGGGGAGAACGACGACAGGGAGGAGGAGGAAGAGGAGGAGGAGGAGGAGGAAGAGAAGAAAGGGGCAGGGGGAGAGAGAGAGGAAAAAAGGAGAGGAACGCGCGCGACGCAGCGTCCGGGAAAAGTAGTCGCGCACGGCGACGCACGGCCTCCTCTCACCGTCCGTCCGACGGACTCTTTTTTTCCGCGGCGGGCCCGGCGTACTCCGCGCGTTGTCACTCGGGATTTCCGGCGGCGCGAAAACGTGCGGGGTCGCACGCAGCAGCGGCACGGCGGCGGCGACGGCCGGACTCGGCGGCTCGGGATTAACTGGCCGACGCGACCGCGTACTTTCGCGGGTGGTCGCCCCTCTGGCGGCCCGCCGGCGAGACGGCCTCGCGTGGTGCACGCTCGACGCGATTATCCGCGGCTCCTCTCGAGACGCGAAACGCGACTCACGAAACAGCGGCGGCGGCGACGGCGGCGGCGGCGGCGGTCGGCGGCGGCGACGGCGGCGGTGGCGGCGGCGGCAGCGGCGGTGGCGGCGACGGCACGTCGACTCCGGCCGACTCCGGCCGACTCCGGCGGCTTCGCCGGCCGTCCGCTCCCGTCTCCTCCCGTCCTCCTCCGTCCCCCGTGCGGCGACGGTCGACACGTGTATACGTACGTGCGCGCGCGCGCGCGCGCGTGTGTGTGTGTGTGCGCGCGTGCCGTCGCGAATTCGCCGGTAGGCCGATTCGCGACGCGACTCCTTCCAAGCGTCTCCGTCAGGAGCGAGAACGAGAGGAGAAGAGACCGGTGAAAGGAAGGGAGCCGCGAAACGGGAGTTGTGTTGGAACTCGACGGGTCTGCCTTTCCGCGAGCACGTATTCACGCACGTGTGCATGTGCATCGGCCGTCGTTTGCGCGCGGTCCGAAATCCGCGAGGGTGAGCGAAGGATTCGCCGGACGGTCGGGGCCAGTCGGGGCGACTGTCGCCATCTGCGCGACCGCGCGGGAACGCGGTCCCCGCGAATCGATCGAACCGCGACGGCATGCGCGGTGCGGAAAACCGGGGCAGGGGGGGGGTTTCTTTCGACGGCATCCCGAACGGCACGCACAGATGACCCCCGGTTGCGAATTCGGAAAGGATTAAAATTCTTTGCGAATTGGCGCAAGGAAAATAAGAGGATTCCCTTTGCGCGGTGAATTCTTGCGGAGGACAAAGAGAACGCCCTTCGAGAAGAGAAGCTCGGAGTTGCTGACAAAGGGACTTTTTTTACCGACGCAGTCAAACACACAGTTCTTGCGCTCGCAATTCTTTTTATTAGCGCGCTTTTATGCGCAAAATAATACTTGCGGACTGCATAGCAGAACATTGTCACACTTAAAACACTCAGTTCAGAAGTCTAATAAAAAAGATATTAATATTTGAAACTTTCAACTCGTAGTTCTAACTAAATTTGAAATTGGCTTTATAAAATTGCAAAATTCACACGATGAAAGTATGCATAAAGAAAAACGAAGAGAAATTAAAAATATCGCATTTATAAAGTGATATTCGACAGAGGCTCCTCTAAAGAACGTTTCTAGAACGAAAGCGGAAAAGAGTGTGCAATTCGGGATTTGGAAATTTGCCTTGGAGTTCTCTGCGCGTTTCTTATCGCGGACAAGAGTACGAAATCCTCCTTTCTCCCATCTGTAAAAGTCTGTACGATACTCTTTATCTAGTTGCTCTTTCTGCGTAATCCATTTTCGTTGGAGTATAACGTATATGCACGTATAATAATTACGTATTGTATCTGTGTCAATATCGAATATATTATTTTATTATTTTTCTCTTTCCATAAATTATAATAAATAACTCTTGACTGTGGTTATATATATTAAACAAAATATTTTACAAAAGTAAATAGCTGTATGTCGCCACGTGTCGAATGAAGTGTGAGACAGAGAGAGAGAGAGAGAGAGAGAGAGATGTGTTACTACTTGTCTATTCAAAAGTAACTAGACATCTGAAGCAATTGCGTGTGAGTGTGATCTTTGGCGACCTCGTACCCTCGTATTCTCTTCTAGACAGAAACTTCCCCCATGCAATTAAAGTAATAAATACAACGTCGTCTCCCTATTTCAAAACGCGATCGCAACGTATAAATTAGGTCTCGCAAAAAATACACGATGTAAAAAAATAATTTTCATATAGGTCAAACACGATTCGCGGAAATAAAAATCTTCCACGTTGAAAGCACGTGTGCATATCAATTGCGACGTTTAATCATCAATTATATCGATTTACGTATGCGTGATCTCTTTATGAAAGGACATTACACGCGTGCGACGCTACGTCAAGAAACGTATTGCGGGAAGAGACACGATTATCGCCAATGAGGTCACTGCTGGACATTCGTCTGGGAGGCGGCCGCGAGCGGTCCCCCTCCGTTTCTTTCAGTGTTTAGTCGCTTTTCAATACGTCAGAAGACAGTTTTACTAGGCTGAGCTGAGGTATCGAGAGAGGCAAGATGGTTGTTTACTCTCTAGATATGGCGTAAGGTTACAAGTGAGAACTGTGAGGCTGTTGTTCATAAAACAGTACGTAGGCTTCACTGGAAACGACCGATCGTGCTGACACGACGGACACTCGGCTGTCGTTATACTCATGCCATTCTCCCGAGTACGGGTGCTTGCAGTACGCCGTGTAGTGACCCGAGTACGTGGTGCCCGAGTGATTCGCGACCCCATACAGATTGTACGTGCAGCCCGGAACTCTCGGGGCGGCAAAGGCACTGAGATCCAAACCCGTCAACGGAAAGTCCACCATCACGTTCAGCTTGCCGCGAAAGCGTTCCATCGGAGAGAAACGTTTCAAATCTAACGGACGGCGTTAAGAAAAATATTCTCCTCCCCTATAACTCGTGCTATGTTACATCTACTTACGTTAATAATACATCGAGTTGTACTAATAAAGTTCCTTGAAGCGGACATGCATGATTATGCATCCGTTATAATATATTATTAAGTCCCCTATTACGAGACAGGCTCCTACTAAATTAACAGGCATCGTCCGTTGGTTCCACCATAAATTTATTGCCCTTGGAGCGAGATCTGTTTAGTGGAAAATTCATTGTTAGATTGTGTAATCGCCGCGGCGAGATTGTGATTCAATTTGGATGTTGAAAACCTGCTGTCTCGTATTAGAATCCTATCTCGTAATAGGGGACTCTCCTCTATACATGAGTATTTGGACCGATGAAAGAAAGGATACGGATAACCAAAATTTTCGGGAATTTCTGTATGCTGAAGCTCTTGGTGCACTTTCTTCTCATCTGGCATTTGGAACATGTAGGTTTCTCGTCGCCATCCAGCACCTCCTCTCGAGTGAAGTGCTCCAAGCACTGGCTCAGCTTGACCGTGCCGCTTCTGGCTGGTATCGGCAGGCTTAGGTCCCAGAACGGATCGAGCGTGACCGACACGTGATCGCAGGAGGTGCAGCGTAAGGATGAACGTAGCTGCCCGACGAAAACGTCGACTATCGTGCTGTCTTCGCTGCGAATGTACCGCTTCCAACTCTCCACCGCCTTCTGCATATCCCTGCACCAAGCAATAACGTCGAGTATACGCGTTCTGTAAACTAAACGCGCGTGTGTATCGCGTAAACAGCTCCCTTACGTGTAACTATCAGGTATGTCTCCATGTATGGGTGGTAGCTTTGTGGTGACTCTGTTGACGTCCTCGTGCAAGCCCTCCAGCAAGTATCTGAGAAACTCTTGAGCATCCTGTTGACTGTAGCCCATGAAACGCGGCGCGAATCTCTGTATCTGAGACTTGAGCGCGGTCGTATTCACCACGTGATCACCGCCCACCTCCCACAATTCGTGAATCACTTGGCTGAACGCTTTGATCAGGGCGCCTTTCATGCTCGACGTCGTAGTATTTATGTCGGCCAGGTATTGTTCGTTCAGCAGATACTCTAACAGAGGTCTCGTGTTGCTCAAGCACTGGATCACGCTGTTCATGAAACACTAAAACGACCGTGCGTGTATCAACGGGCTGTAACGAAAAAGTGATTCGTTTCCAAGTACGTTAAAAATGTACTCACTGTATTTCCAATGTTCCGTAAGCCGTTTAGACCACATCGTTCGTCGCGAAGAGCTTGCAGACGGCTACGCGCCGATCTGTTAGTCGGGCTTCCTTCCTGAAAGACATTGGGCAAATGAAATTTTCCACGCGGGCAAAGCTATTATCTATTAAATTGACGTTGCATAGAGTCCGTACATCGTTGCGAATACTGTCGTCTCGAATCGTCCCGTTAAAGCGTCCGAGCCTTCATTCATCTATTCCGATCGGCGAAAATGTCGCAAGTCGCTCGACAAGGGGAGGGCTTAAGCGTCGCGCGATAGCAGACAAACTTGCGTTACACAAATGCAAACTGATAACGCGTTAGATTTAGTAACACTTGGTACTTGTTAGGTACACACGCGCGGATATACGCGCCTATCAGGCTGTGCTTATTAAATATACACGCATTCAAATGGGACAAGGCAAGTGTCGTGGCGCCCGACTTGGGCGACTGACGAGGACGAAAAAAAGAAAAAGAAAAGAAAAACAGTACCGACATCGTGATCGACAATCAGCAATCGGAGAAGCGTTCGCAATCGCACGAGTATACTCACCTGTGAGCACGCAGACGGAGGTCGGACGATGCGCGAGACGGCGAGTCGCGTTATCGCCGAATTAGCGCCGCGCACCGAACTGACTCGCGGGGAGGCACGTTTGGGAGATAACAGGGGTGTCGCGATACCGAGGAAGAAGGCGTAGGTGAACACGAGGACTGTCACCGTCCACAGACACCACAGGGCCCACCCTATCGCTTGAACGTGAGCCAGTTTACAGCGCGGCAAAACACTATCCTCTCCGCGAAACGAGCGATACGGACGCCGGATTATGGGCCTCGCGCGCTAATATTACATTTGTCGTACGATAAATGTAATATCAGCCTTACGCGCGACGCGTCCGCGCGGAACAAGCAACGTCATTTTTATTTGCGTCACGCTTGTCAACGTGTTAATTGCGAGCGCTACTTTAACGGCCGCGATACCTCGCGATATCATTTCTGGCCGGGCGCCAGAGGCAGCTGGTTCTTCGAAACGTGCTTTTCGCGATTGACATACGAGAACGTGCAATTTCGATTCCTCCCACACGAGCGCGGGGACGAGCGACTCGCCGACTCCATCGCTGCTGGCAACAGCCGGACGAGTTCACGAGGTGCGCGGAGGCGCGGCTGTACAATCGCGATTGTTCGCCGGAGTCTGTACGCGTCCCCGAGGCATCCGGGAGAATCGCTTCCTCGCGAGGAAGCGTGCGAGAACTCGGTCGGCTACCGTAAATTACCACGGCGCACTGGCGGCGGCGAGTCCGCCGACAACGTGCCTCTATGTCCCGGCGAGTCGGAGAAGAAGAGAGGAGCTCTGGGCTATTAATAAACCGCGAGCGACCGACTCCCCGAAGAGGCTCTAGTTGGAGACGGCGTGAGGGCAGCGAGGGATTTCGCAACGGGAAGCCACCGGGGTGGGGAAGTAAACGAGTCGCGCGGCGACGGCACCGGCTCTCTCGCCCAGCGTCGAGATTGAATCTGCGCGCCGGTAAACGGACAATACACCTATCCTCTCCTTTTCTAACAGGGAAATTACTCCCCTGCCGCCACAATGCGAGCACTTTGCACGGCGAGAATCGACCCGCTGAGACGCACGCATCTCGCGAGCGCTTTCTTCTCACGCTCGACTCCGACGTTGCGATTATAAATACACAAACTCACGCGTATAGTTACACTCGGTATACAAGTTCCGCGTGGAAGAACGCACGCCGCTAAGTCCTATCCATATTCATACGGCGATTACTTCTCGGCGGATTCGATTGTATTTCGATCAATGCCGTGCGTTATACTCACGTCTTCGCTGCTGCCGTCGGGAGGTTCGTGGTTTAAAAGTAATGAATCTCGAAATTTCGAAGGCACGGAGCATTGACCGACGTGAGGAAGAGAACGTCGTTGAGATTCGTCAACGAATCGATTGAATGAAAGAGCGAGGATCGAGTCTGCTCCGCGTCGGAGCGCGTTACTTTCTCTATAAGCGCACTCACATATTGCTCGTTGACCCCGCGATAGATACTCTGATGTGCCGTGGATGGATTGGTCGGTGACGATGTCAGATTGCTGCTCGCGGTGCTCGAGAAGAGACCGGGCTGCTCCGTTCGCCGCGACGTCGATGGGATGGACGGGTCGTCGCCGTGCGTGACGGACGGTCTACCGGCCACGTTGTCGATCGCTCCGCCGAAGCCGCTCTCGTCCGTGCTGCTGGACACAGTGTTCTCCTCCTCGCCATCCTCGGGAATGTCCCGCTCGCTGGCGCGGTCGCGCTGCAGAAACGTGACGAGCGACGTGACGTTCTCGGCATCGCGCGTTACCTCGTCGCTCGTCGTAATCTCGGCCTCCTCCCGCCCGCCTGTCACCTTGTCCTGAGCGTTGTTATTGATCAGCAGCTCGGTGTTACGAGGATTAGTAGCGAGGTTAGTTAACAGGTCAAGGCTACTGACACCGATCAAACCACCACCACCAGCGGCAGCGGGTGAGAGAATGTTACGCTTAGCGGGCGAGACCTCGTCCGACCGGTGACGGCGCTGCTGGTGGAAGCGGTGGCGGCAATTGTTGAGATTATCGTCGTCGTTCGCGTCGTCGCCGTTCTCGTCCCCGTCCGCGTCCTCGTCCTCGTCGTTGTCGTCGTCGCGCTCGTTATCGTTGTTGTTAACGCCGTATCCGCACGCGAGATCCTCGCCGTTGCCGACGTTGCCGTTGTTGTTGTGCTGATCGTCCTTGGTATCGTCGTTCACGTCGTCATCGTCGTCGTCGTCGTCGTCGTTGTTCGGTCTATGAGTAACGTGATCGTCAACGGTGGTTGTTACCTCGGCGAGGGACACGGCGCTGTCCGTGCGTGCATGTCCGACGGTGGTGAGCACCGTGCTGCTGTTCGTAGGCGGTCTCCGCTTGCTGGACTTGGACCACAGGCCGGGCGCGCCGGTGGCCACGGACGAGGAGGAGGAGGACGAGGACTCCAGGCGGAGATCCCTGCGCTCGGCCTCGCGCTCGTCCCCGCCGAACAATTCGTTCAGGGACGACGACGTCGAGCGGTGCCTCCAGTGATGCGCGCTGCCGCCGCTCGCCTGTTGTTGACGTTGAATACTGGGCACGTAGCCGGCTGGCGAGTACCTGCTGATAATGTCGGCGGCCGCGGCGGACGCGTCGACGCTGCTGCGTTCCCTCGAGGACGAGCTGGCCGAGGCGGCCGACGTTGACGAGACGTATCTGCCGCTACCGCTGCTACTGTTGCTGCTGGTGCCGCTGGTGCCGTTAACGATCGTAGTTCCTAATGCGGCGCCGCCGCTGCTGCCGCCCGTTTCGCCGTACGACGACGACGAGACTGACCTGCAAAATTCGCCCGACATGAGAATATTGCGGTCATCGCGTTTCGCCGGACCGGGCCCGCGGCCAAGGTCCCCTGCTCCCCTACCGCGATCGCGTTATGCAACGCGCGCGAGTATAGATGCCATGCCGTTCCTCGCTATCTCGCGCGCGTTGCAGCAGGCTACCGAGCTACGGGCGGCGCGTTTCCGCCGCCAGCGGCGACCGGGCTAGACTACTTCTACTTCGAGGTTTGGAGGTCACTAAATCGGATCCGCGGCACCGTTCGCAGAGGCGCGACGCGGCCTCGGAGAACGCCGACGCGCTCGTACCAGATATTTAAATACATTCTCACGGGGAGCAACGCGGGGCCTGCGGCCGCGAGGCCGAGGATCCAGGGTGGAGTGCGTCGTCGGGACCCGAGGAGAGGAAAAAAATACCTGTGCGGCGAGGATATCCAGGACGTGAACGCGAACGCGCACACACACACACACACACACAGGCCGGGTAATCTCGCGAGGTCAAGGTCCACGACTACATTCCGTCGCGCGAGCGTGCTTATTTAAAATCGATAAACGCGGCTACGTGCTCTTTCTTTCTCTCTCGACGGGCATAACGACCGCGCGAATTTCAATGGTGCTTTTATACCCCGTCCGGCTCCCCGCGTCGCCGCGACCGGGAAAATCGGAACGACGGCAAGACGCTTTGATTAACGACACCGAGATAGGGCCGGCCGACCCGGAATAACAGGTAGCGGACCCTAGCGCGACCAGTTTGCGCCGACCTCGACCTTTAGCGTCGGACTAACGCCGGCTACCCAGGTCACGTACGATGAGGGATGTACACATCGCGTCTGTCTTGTAATTGAATTATAGTGACGTGAACACAAAGGTGAAGTGACGCGCGAGACTTGGAGGTACGTCTGCAGCGACGAACAGGTGCGACGTCATCGGAGGGCGGAGGCACGTTATCGTGTATTATTGAAGGGAACAAAAACTGCGTGCGCTTTGCAAAACTATCTCTCTCGGAGAGTTGGAGTCGAGGGACACGAGTCCGACATTGATTAGAGTCGCGCGTCTGTCGTGGACATCTCGATTCGGTGCGTGTCGCGGGACGATCGTTTCACGCTGCCTCCCCTAAGATCTACGTTCCACTTGGAGTGATCGCTCACCTTGCGGGTGAGCAGTTGGATCGACTGTACTCCGAGTAGTTCCTGCGGACGCTCGTGCCGGTAGAAGCCGACGAGTAGAAGCTGCGGGACCGATCGAATGCATGAGCAAACCTTGACAAGTCTTTTCGTTACAGTATTTCGGGAGTTGCGGCACTCCGTACATTTGTCTTTCGACGATACTGTCGGAGACTTTCGTTTCACTTCCCCGTATTTATTTGCGGCCGCGAAACTTTTCGCGTGCGATTCAACCGCAAGATCCGCCAGCCGAGGAAGGGACCGGCAACAGCACGTGACGTCTTGCTTCTTGCGTATTTAATTGAGGACTTTAATGGCCGGATTTCACGTAGCCCGAGGTAGGAAGGAAAAGTTTGGCATGCATCGTTTAGCGTGATTGTAAGGCACGCTCCTCGGACTCGGCGGAGCCTGCCGTTCAACCGTGTCTTCCTCTACGTTGTTAACTTTCTCCGCGTTGTTAACTCGCGCGATAAATGTTACGTCGGTGCGACTAAACGATACGTTTTTTCCCCCCGATTGGTACAAAGAATACAAGAGGAAGTCTTTACACAGAAGCCGAGATAAGAATTGAATCGCTTACAGCAGAGAGAATACGCGTGATAAAATCGTACATCTGAGAAAAACAAGAACCTGTTTTACAAGCCTACTATGAATTTTTCAGCACGTTCACAGTCATTGAAAAATATCAATTTGTTTCCCAGCAACACGTGGTGGTTCACGTAGGTATACATGTGCACGGGGAAAAAAAGATGTTATATCAACGATATCAGTGTAATTAAAATAAAATGGTTGAAACAACATCAGTATTGATGAGTGAAATACATCAGATTGTCTTAACAATCTGGATATTTAGTTTAAATGCTTAAAAGAAAAATCCACAGCAAGTATAATCAAGTGAATTGCTTATGTTTGTGGTAGCCCGTGACATCAACGTTTCATTTAGGCAACTTAATTCTTTTTAATCCAACAGCCTTTGTTTCCGCGTATCTAAACGTTTAGGAAACATATATAAAACCTATATGAACCCCCACGTGTTACTAGGGTTCGGTAGGTGCGCTACTTTGCCCTGAAGAAAAAGCTCTTGAAAGTAACTTTCCATCTAAACGAAAAATTTGTTAAACATCCTGGTCTCATGCCGAAGCTAGGATGTTAACTCAATTTCGACCAGAGTGTCGAGTGTCTTTCTGTTCTCACTGGTTCAATCACGCGCGTAAGCCACATTTTAATCCAGACTAATGCTCGAACATTTAACATATTCACGTTTACGTAAAAGTTGCGTTAAATGTGTAGCTTCACAAAAAGTTTCTACATCAAGTCGCGGAAAGGAAGCAGACGCGACTCTCTCGAGGGCATCCCACGCGCCGCTGACGATCGTCATTTCCCCCGGGGGAGAAACGGGAGACACTAACCTTCCCGGGGAGCAATAGGACCGCCTGTACTCCGAGGAGATGTAGTTGGAGCGCAGGCTCGAGCTCGAGGACGTCGTGTAGAAGCTGGTCGGCCGCGAGTCCAGGAGCGAGGACGAGCCGGTGGAGCGGTAGGCGTTGAACTTGGACGTCGTGCTGCCGATCGCGGAGGCGGCGGTGCTACCGCTGCCGGTGCCGCTCGAGTACCTCCGGCTGGGCGAGTGCGGCGCCATTGGGCTGGTGCTGTACGAGACGGCTACGGCGCCCGCCTGCCCGCCGCGATGATACGACATTGTCCGCCGCGGCTCGCCAATCTCCCCGAGCTTCTCCGTCGAGTGTCTGAAAGTCATTTTACTGCACTATTCTCTCACGCGAGCTCTAAAAAAAAAGAATAAATATGAAAGCAAAGGTGAGTAATGCGTGCGCGAGGGGGGAGCGTTTGTTAAGGCCAGTGTCCACGATGCTAGAACTTCGTGCTGGTCCAAGTTCTAGCATCGTGGACACAGGTCTTTAGCGGTGGATCCTTCGAGACGGATCTTTCGCGCGGAGTCTGTCGGGGGTCCTCTCGAGTCTCCGCCGCGGAGCGACCGACAGCGCCTGTTTAAAACCTTGTGTCAAGAATTGCGTCCAAGTTCTAGTTACTAGGAATGTGTAGCCAGTCAACTTGCAGCTGTTTCGTAAAAGATACAAGTTGATTGGCTACACACTTCTCGAACTAGAACTTGGACACAGTTTCTCGGATCGTGGACACAAGGCTTTAGACACGCGTGCTGTCTTGGGTTACGACCGCGGCGCGCGAAACTTCTTTTTTGAAACTGAACGGAGCGAGTACGACGCACAACAAGACATGGTGGAACTCTTGCCTAGCTCATAGTATAACTAGCAGGTCCACTCTCCGCCGGCTTCTTTGATCTTTGCGGTCCCGACCACGTGGTATTCCACCGTACACCCGAGCAGGATCCAGCAACGTGTACGTGTGTGTGTATGCGTACTCATCAAAGCAACACTACCAAACATACAACTTTTCTCTCATTGGTCTGCCCAGAGCAATGTCGAATGCGCAGAAGGGATCGACGCAAAACGAAACAAATGTGGACCTACCTACTTATAGTTATACCAAGGGCTTGTTTTCTGTTCCTGCACTGGTGAACTAGTGCAGTAAGCTAGAATGAGAAAAAATATACTTGTCTTACTCCAATTTATTGCACTAGTTCACCAGTGCAGGAACAGAAAACAAGCCCTATGCCTCACTTTTCAAAAGTCTGCGGTACGACGTCCTTGCGAGAATCTCTGCCGTTGATCCGCATCTGATAATCGCTCGCGCCCGTACGCTCCTTATCGCGGGTCAGAAGACTCATTATCAGCCGGTGTGCACGTAATGCGTGCGTTAACGTAACAATTCCGACGAGCGCGCCCATTATCGATAATCGCCCCGGCGCGGCGCGGCGCGGCGCGGTGATATAACGTTGACCTTCGTGACGCGATTGAAAATCATCGCGAAACGGGAGCGGCACCGCTTTCGGCTCAACGGGCTGAATTCGAGCTTCACCTCCGACCTCGCTCGCGTCACCTTGCCCTCCTTTTTCGCGGAATTTCTCCGGAGAGATCGTTTATACATCCAGCGGGGAGATGCGCGACGGTCCTAATCGCGTCGCATGTACAGGGGTGTAATACCCGTCTCACCCCTTATTTACGGATAGAGCGGATTAGACTGAGTTGAAAAGTCCTCTACCATTTTGCAATTTTCGCAATCTCGTTAACTATTACGAAAATTACAAAATGGTAGAGGACTTTTCGTTGTCAGTTTAGGCCGCTCTATCTGCACATAAAAGGTGAGACGGGTATTCGAGGGGGAAACCGCTGACCAAAATCTTGTACACCAATGCCCGGTGGGCATTACTTTATCTTATTTTACCTTTATAAAGGCCTAGTGCCCAAACTAATGCCCCAAAAATGCCTAGTAATGCCGCAAATCTGTACACCACAATGCCCCCAGCGGTTTTCCCCTCGCGGATATTACACAACACCCTGTATATCGCGGAAACGCGCGCTCGATGTCGATTCGAGAGGAGACGTAAATCGCTTCCTCGTGAAAAGATATTCACGGGTCACCGATCGTTCGCCATACATATGTCGCCCCCGTGACTCAGGCGTGCAGGCTGACGTTATCTGTCGTCATTCTGACGTCGAAGTGCCACGAGAAACGTCACTTTGACGATAAATAACGCCCGCTCGATAATCCAGGGAGCGACTGTAAAACCTCATCTACAACGTTATCTTTGCGTCTAGAAACGTTTTACGTTGCAGCCAATAAACATGTTTAAAAATACGTTTACAACACTCGTGCAAGTTGATAAATTGTACATTGTGCATTGTACAATACAGTCGACAAGTTTGTTAACTCCGGTTTTCGTCAACATCGTTTAACTCTGATCTTACAATTAGTTTAAATTTTCATTTGTCTGTTTCTAAGAGGGCAGTCAGAGAGAGAGAGAGAGAGACACACACACAAAGGATCAACTAACGATAAGATCAAAGTTAAACGACGTTGGTGAAAACGGACACGAGTGTTTTGACTTGCTTGGATAAAATGGAAATAGAACGTGCTTAGAGCGCAAAGAGCGCATTGCAGGTCAGGCCTGAACGTAGACGCGGAAACGTTCGCTGGCGAACGGAAGTAGACGCGGCTCTCGCGATCCTGCCAAGCGGACGGCGTCGATAGGACGCGGATCTGACGCCCGCGCGGGGTGGCGAGGCGGAGGGCGGCGATTTTTCCTCCCGCGATCTGGCAGCCGTCCCGCCTTTCCGTCGGAGTCCCGACGCGCAGTTAGCGCGCCGGAATCCAATATAAACCGCGTCGTTTCGGATTTTGTTACGCGGCGCGGACGCGCGACACGTGGAGGGTGGTGACGTGCGGGGGAATACCCGCGCGCCGGATCATCCCCGATTACGTGTCGAGGGGGGTGGATCTGCAGTCGCGAGGAGAAGAGATGCAGGCGTGGACGCAGGTCGCTCGAATGGCACGTGAAGGTAAGATTTTGTGGACAGCAGCATTTTAGCAAAATTATTACGGTAGTTTAGCAAGTTTCTACAATCTTTTGGTAATTCACCAAAATGATGCTGCTTGCTGCCCATGAGATCTTAAGCTTATTCTACAATGGACGCAAAACTCAAGACGCTAAGCCGCAACGTGAGATATCATCGGCCAATGGCAGTCGAGCACTCGTCTCATAGTTGACTGTGAGATCTACGATGTGCTCTTTGCGTCTAGAGATATTATATCTTATGACTGTGAGATCTACAATGTGCTCTTTGCGTCTAGAGATATTATATCTTATATAAGCAAGTTGAAACGCTTGAAACATTTGTCGACAATGTACGATTGTACAATGCACAGTGGTGGACAGAATGGTTGCGACACTCTTTTTAGAACACGTTCCAAAATCTTCTTCTCCGAGGCATTTTTCAATCGATGGCCATTCTAAAACCATTTCGAGCGTTTTCGATCTATCTCTCGAGTAAAATTTTCCTCCGAGAAAATATTTTGCAGCGTGAACCTGAATTTAAATGCGCGTTTCTAAGCTCGCTAATAAAAAGAATAGTGTCGCAACCATTCTGTCCACCGCTGTACAACCAGCTTGCGCAAAGTTTCGCAACATATTTATTGGCTACAAAATGGAATGTTTCTAGACGCAGAGAGCACATTGTAGATCGGGCTTTAACGTCGTCTGAGCGACTCACAATAATTACGGGAATCGCGTTTACGTGCCCGGCAACGAGACGCGTATTATTCGAACAGGCGCGTGCCCTTCTCCCTCCCTGAATTATATCGTCTGAAGATTAATGGGATTTTAACCCTTTTGCGACCACCGGAACACACAGGTCCCACATATTTTGCCTCTCTGGTACTGCGGGAGGCCAGTGTCCCGTTAAAAAAAGTAATAATAGAAACATAATTCGCTCGTGAAGGGGTTAATGAAGGGTGAGCAGCGAGCCGGGAGGGGGAGGGGGAACGGTGACGCGCGCTCGCGTGAGGATTCCGTGACTCGGGTGGATTACGATTCAATTAGCTTTTACGTAAGACGCGACACACGAGCCGTGACATAACCCGGTGCATGCGCCGGCGCGTTAATTAATTAATCTCGACGGCGATCCGAAGGGTCGGGCCGCGTCCGCCTGATCGCGAGGCTGAGAAGAAGCAGCGCGATTCGCGCCCGCCAGGTGCGTACCTACGTACTTAGTTCAGGTACGCGTACTCGGAGGTGAATAAAATTGCAATATGATGCTATGAAATTTCAGACTCGACCAATCGTAGCGCAAGATCATTTTAATCTCGCGAAAGCAGCCCTGATTACGGGAGTTCGGTCTCCTTATGTAGACTCCATGGTTTCGACCGCACAGCGCCTTACGGGCATTAGGCCGGTTCTACATTTATCGCATCGTAGCGCCGTAAGCGTCGCAAATGTCGCAAATCATAGACTACGTTTGCACGTCACCATTAATCGGGTTTAATAACATCTGTAGTTATAAAACTGACAAATCACAACTATTTTTTAGAAGAATGGAATGACTGTGTGATTGGTCAGCCCCTTAACTACGGATGTTATTAAACCCGATTAGGGTGCCGTGTAACCATAATCATAGATTCGACCAATCGGCATTGAATTAGAACCAGTCTACGACCCTTGCGGCGCTACCACTGTAGAACCGGCCCTAAAGGGGAAAGACAGACGCGCTCTTGCGAGAGGAGTAACGCCGAAGATCGGCTCGAGCCGCGTCGCACGACAGATTCGCGTGTAACACACGTGCGTGCGTGTGCCTATCGACGACCTGGCTTCATCGGGAGAGCGTTTTGCCACTGTGGAAACACCGGATAATCGATATGCCATCCTCCGAGGGCATTCGCGCTCGCGATATTCCATCCCCGGTGCACGTCGGACGCGGCCGACGTTTTTTTCGCGACGCGGAGAGACGGAGACGAGCGAGTATAGCGCGTGGCGGGTGCAGATCGATGCATCGGCCCCGTCTGAAAAAAGTCAACGCAGCCGAACGGGACGCACTTGCGTCTCCCCCGCCGCCCCGCGGAGGGTCGCGCTGCCGTAGAACGCGTTAAAATTTAAGTGCGCGGGTCCAGCGCGCGCGATCCGCGATACGTAAATAACTTTACGGCCACGCGTTTCTCCCGCGTGTACACCTCTCTCTCTCTCTCTCTCCGCTTTCTTTTTATATCTCTCCCCGCGATCTCGGAAAGGGTATATTAATAGTGCGCAGGAACTATGAGAATTTTCGGCCATCGCCATCGCCGTTGTCTCGGGGCCGCCTCGATTGAAAATCCTCGTGGCACGCACGTCGCCGCGCAATGAGAAGAATCGAGAAGGACCGCGGCGGTCACGATCCCGGCCTTCGGCGTCCGCGATCGTGGTAAAGCCCGTATCAGACTACGGATTGGGATTGGGATTAGATAGAAATTTAACCAATCACAGTAAAGTTTACTAATCTCAAGTTCAGTAACTTTTACTCTGGTTGGTCAAATTTCAATCTAATCCCAATCTCAATCCGTAGTCTGATACGGGCTTAAGGCCAGTTCTACATTGATCGTCGCAAATCGTAGATTCGACCAATCGGCGTTAAATTAGAGCCAGTCCGCGACCCTTGCGACACTACGATGCGACCAATGTAGAACCGGCTTTACTCGACATTGTTTCCCCGGCCGCTCTTTTCTCCTGGAAATCCCCCGCTGCTCCGTTTTTAACAGATTACGCCAATTTAGGAGCAAAGAATTTCTCCTCGGCAGTTCAGAGGGGATCCCGCGGAAGTGGACGGCACCTTTTGCACTTGTTATGGAAATCGACGTTGCTCCAAATACAAAGACTTTCGCACCCGAGAAACAACGTCAGAATTGCTGGCACGGAAAGCGAATTCTTTCCGAGCTCTCGAGAACGTTTTTAGAACGCAGAAATGAAACGGAGGGAGAATTCATCTCGTATATTCGGGAACACGGAGTGAGTTCCCTTCGGGTACACCGGGAACATTCGATCTTTCGGACGAGCGTGTCGCGATTCACGTCGCCGATTACGCTCGCGATTATCCGCAGCTTCCGTCCGTCCTTCCGCGATCTTTTTTTCCTCCCACGCGGAGCGTGGCAATTAATTGCGCAAAGCCTAATTGACCCTCTCGGCTCTTATTTCCTCCTTTCCGGGAGAAACCGCCGTGCGGGATCGCGACGTCCGTCCCGACGGCGTGCACGCTCGTTTTCCCCTCCGCCCTTTTTCCCCTTTTTATAAATAATTCGTTTCGGACGTACTCGCGGAAGGGTGACCGGGGGGGGTGGCGGGGGCGGCCCTCGCGCGCGCGTATCGATATCCACGAATATTTTTATCGAACGCGTCGACGGCCGGGCAACCTAACCCTGCTTCGGGGTCGGGAAACGGCGCTCGCTCGTCGGCGACGCAGAGGGGAAAGGGGCGGAATTAAGGAACGTGGAGATCACGCGAGCGCCCACGCGGCAGGAGTCAGGTCGACCCGGGGGTTATAGACGGAGGGGAGAGATACTCACGGCGATGCCGACGGGGCACACGACGACGGGGGCGAAGAACACACAGGGCAGGGAGGACTCGCGAGCGGGTCATCCGCGGCTCACCACCCGCGGCCGTGACACCTAGCAACCGCTCGCGTTATTATTTCGCTCCTGCACGTCCCGCCCGGACGCGCGCGATTCCCCCGGAGGGGGCGGGAGAGCGCGAGGGAGAAACGAAAAAGAAAGCGCGCCGGGAAACGAGGGGAAGAAAAGACCCAGCTTCCTGGGGGAGGGAGGGGGGGGCGACCGCGACCGCGAACGCGGGCGGGCCGCGCTGGTTCACGAGAGCGACTCCGGGAGCCGCGGATCTCCGCGGGCGGCGAGACCCGCGAGACTGGCCGAGAGGGGGGGGGGCGCGCGGGCCGTCCCGAGGGTGGGGCCGACGCGGTGACGTCACCCCCCCCCCCCCCGGGAACGTACGTACGTACGTATACGTACGCGCTCCGCTCCGAATCGCGAACGGGCAAGGCGCGCGCGGATCGATTCTCCGCTCACGCAAACGCGGCTCCGAAAATGCCTCGGCGTGTCGTCGCGCGCTCCCCTTCCGGGCCCGCTGCGCTCACCCGCGGTAAAAAAAAGAAGAGGAACGCGGCGACGACGACGACGTCGTCGTCGTCGTCCGTGCGCCTCGCGTCACGCTCGGCTCGTCATCGTCGTCGTCGTCGACGACGGCTCCGCGACGGTTCCGGCGTATTTACCTTTCGTCGACACCTCCTGGCACGATCCACGCTCCGATACTCGTCGCACCACGAGATTATCGGCACTGGTACGCCAACAATGCGCGCGCGGACAAAATGGCGATACGTGGTTGCCGATTTCCGCGTTGACAGTCATCGGCATCCTTCGCGAGTGCGACGGCGGCGGCGGCGGCGACGGCGGCGGCGGCGGCGGCGGCGGCAGCGGCGACGGCGGCGACGACGATGGCTGACGGCAGCGACGACGGATGGCGGTGGCGGTGGTAACCACGGTTTTGCGATAGCGCAGAAGAAAATGCGCCGAGGACGCACTCCTGACGCAGCGCCGGAAGTCGCGGCGCGCCAATCGGACGAGCCGGGAACTCGGATGTGCTGGAGGTTGCCCGCGAAAGTCCCGGCCGTTCAAACTACAAAGTTACGAAATGCGTGTTATTCGCATATGTATTGAACACAGCGGCAACATGTTGACACATATTTTACATATTACTTCAGTCGATATTCTGTGGCATTAGATTTTTCCTTTGAAATTGTAAAGGTATCATTTTTTTTGTAATGTGAGAATGTTGCGCAACTCCAGAATCGGAATCGCATACTCTGTAGTAAATTAACGTTAATAATCTGTCAACCGAAAAGCTTGTTAATCTTGACCTTATCTACATTATCGTTATTTTGAACAGAACGCAAGCGCTACCTTCTTCTCATATTGTTAAATAAATTTAAACTTGTGCAACTCTCTCTATTTATAATATATGCCATTTATATCAATTCTTTTCTCAAAGTTGTCGATTCCTCAGTTCATCCCGAAATCGATATCTCTTCTGTCTTACAACAAGAGGTATTTGATTTCAGGACGAACTGAGGAACTAACAACTTCGAGTATCGTCACCCCTTGCTCGATTATACTCTCGCGATACTTTCTTCGTTTTTTTTTTACAAATTTCCAATTTCCCGGGAAACGATTGTAACATTTGATATAAAGATAATCCAAGAGAGGCTGCTGGTCGACAGTTGGCAAGGCATAAAAAATTTATATAAGAAAATTAAAGTTTCAAACGAGGTACCAAGAGAGAATCAGAAGGCAGCGTTTTCGAAAAAGGCCACCAATGTTACGCTCCACTTGCAATTGTTTTCCCTCCGGGGGAATTGCATACGAACGACATCTACCACGCGCAAACGTCACTCGCCGCCCGTTGTCCGACCAGTCCGACTTGTCAGAGGAGAATACGAGCGCACGTCAACAAACCGATAAGATGTGCTGCTATAATGCGACGTTTATTGTGCTCTCGTTATTTCTAATACTGTTCTGCGACCCGACGTCGTCGGAATGCACCCAGCTGGCGCCGTGCGTCTGCTCGCTACCGGACGGCTACTATTACAATTTGACCGGCCTCGCTAATGCAGAGTTGGTAGATCACGAGCTGTTAACTAACCTCCGTCCGTGCTCCGTTTTCCCTCCGCTTTTGCGTCGTATAAGATGTCCATTGTCCCGTTCATGCGCGAGAAAGGAAGAATACTTGTACAAATTCACCCTTTCGTTGCGCCCCAGCGAGGAGCCGCGAGACGAGCAACGAACACGATGCCCCGATCCTACAAAATTTGTGCGCAACGTTACGGAATTTTTGTTAAGCGCGCAGACATTTTTCTTATTTCTCCAAATACGGCGCGCTTCCGCATCTGCGATATTCGATTGTCAATTGTCTATATTTGTCGCACACCTAAATGTCTTCAATACTTGTTCGAGATACAACTGGGAACAGTGCACTGTAAAGTACTAATGGATTGATTTTCAGGCCGTTTGTTGATGATAAATACAATTGGACGGTACATTTTCATCCGTGTACAAATGTAAAAATGAAAATAGACAACAAAACGCCAAGTGCCTGCACCAATGGCACTGGAGTATCGGTGAGATTCAAGTTTTAGCATTTTCGGCCACAGTTAAAAGCTCCTTTATTCGCTTTCGCTATTTGCCACAGGTATCACGGCCGATGCTCTTGCAGTATGCCAGTTAAATATTACTTGTATTCTTGCAGCTATGCATGTACAATAAAACTCAGCCAAATCAGACGCTAACTGGGACGATAGAAGAAACAAAAATGACGATGTCATCCACAGGAAACACTCCAGTCTTTGAGATAGTTCATAAAGACATCAAATCGATTATAGAAATTGTGTGCTTTACAGCCGAGGAAAACGAATCGACTTTTACAATCTCCAAATCTCCGAGTGCTGAGCCTAAAGCAGTTAATGTGAGTAGCGATAGTACTGTTTAGTATTATGATAATAAAGCAAATTAACTAATTGTATTTGCAGCGTTTTGCGTTGATGTCGCCACACGGTTGTAAGATAGCACCGGAAAAGGGATTATCCACCGGTTCCGTCTTGGTCATTTTGTTCTTCGTCTGCGCTGGCCTGTACTTTATTGGCGGCATTGTAGCTTTGAAAACATTGAGGGGAGCAACAGGCTGGGAAATGGTGCCCAACCATGAATTCTGGTGCAAGCTTCCTTCACTAGTCAGGGTAAGTGGCCATGGCGCTTCCGATAACATCTGATAAGATCTGATAAGATCACAGTAGAGTCCCTCTAATCGGAGTCTCGCCAACAGGTCAGTTTCGCCAAAATGATGCGAGAGAGAAACAAGTATATTCTCTTTCACGCTTTTGCTACAACCGCAAGTGTAGCTACAAGTGTAATATAACATACACGATAAATGCAGTTAATTACAGCATATGCGTTGTGTAGAGTGAGAGGGAATATCTTTCTCGCATCAAGCTTGCCGAAACTGCCTGTTGGCCAGGCTCTGATTAGAGGGACTCTAGACCACAGCAGTTGCTGTTCCGTCTCATCACGAATATCGATAACAGTAGCCTCCCATCTTTTTGCAGGACGGCGTCGTCTTCACCTTCAGTTGCTGTCGGGCGGACAGTTATGAACGAATATAATTACAAACGCCTTTGTTGAACCGGTTCGACTTAATATTTATTAAGCGCGCGACTTTGTTGCAATTTAGTGTAATATAAATAGTCCATTTGTATTCCAGATTATTTTTCTATTCCTACTCTTGTTTGTACTGCAGCCAGACTTTGTACATTTGTCTTAGCAGAATTCATATTAGTTAAAAATATCCCTTTGTCAGTTTACTTATACTATATTTCTAACGCCGGTATTTCCATTGTTTTAATTATCCATTTAGCTTGTTAAAATAACAATGTATATACATTGAAAAATGTGATATCCATTATGCTATGTCACGTGCCAATGTTATTTCTTTTTATAAGATAGACGTTTCAATTTATTTGACACAGAAACAGTCTATGTATAACTGTTGTAAGTATAATGAACAACCGAGAACACACCTGAAAACTGAGAAAATATGATTATATACCAAAGAACTCGTCAGCTCTTTCGAACATTGGACGTGTTTGTTTCAAAGTACAATTTACATTTGAAAAATAATGTTGAGAGTGAACGTGATTCATGTAAGCTAATATAAATGTATGTTTGTAGAATAACATATTTTGACGCTGCAAGGGCCTAGACGCTGAAATCGACCATTTCCACGAATATGCTATTTTTCTCCACGAGCATTTTTTCCCATAAATATATTTTTTATAGACTTTTTACGAACATCAGTGAAACCGCACAGGATTAGCTTTATCTACAATTAGAGTAGATCTCGTCTCTTTTTATACAGCAGACCAATCGTTTCTACACAGGCGCATAGACCCTTGTGCAGTCAGTAACGACACGGAACTGGTGATTTGAGAATGTGATGTTTTATTAACAAAATCTCTAATAATACAAAAATATAAATACCTATATAGACGCACTTTGTATATTCCTTTTTTACATTTCTACGTGCGTGTGTGTAAAAAGTGCGGCTCGTCTACTAATTAATATATCGCTGTGCATAATGAAACGAGAATATTTTACCGTCTTATATTTCTTTACAGTTTTCGTTCTGAAGAAAAAAAAAACTTATAGTGTGTATTAGTAATATTGATTTACCTCACTTTTCCTTATCGCCTACTTTGATAATTGCATAATAAATAATGATATTACAAATGGAGTTTACATAATAATTAGAAAGATGGGTATTTCTAGAGTAGCATAAGAGCTCCCCGCGTATTTGTAACAGTTGGACAATACTGGATTCTTTAAAAGCTGGGCCTCCGCATTTTCTCTCTGTTCTTCAAGGATCACTTATTGTCAGTACGCCTCACTCGGAAAAGCACGCGGATGCGTTCAAAAGCTCTCGATCTCGTCCACTTGGATCGAGACCTCCTGATCAGTTTGAATGATGACCCAGCTGCCGTTAGCGTTCAAATTGTGGATGTTGATGCTCTTCGATGAGAAAACGTTCACAATGCTGGCGAGGTCCTGCACTCGATTCGCGCGGTATAAACAAATGTGGTCTCTGAGCGCGATGCCGTTGGCAAAGACGGCGTCGTCCAAAGCGAGCAATAGTGACTGATTGTCACGCACGGTTCCTGTAACATACACAATAATATTAGTAATGTAACATTCAATTGTAGATAGAATATATGTATTTTATTTTATTGGAAACTTTCCAATAGACTACGAGTGTAATAGAAAATACACAATAAATACAGTTAAGTACAATCTTTTAATTTATAGACACTTGGATAAATTTCACCTCCACTGAAATTCTATATACCTCTAGTTTTTTTTTCAGAAATTCTGTAGAGCTTTATTACGTTCTAAAGATGAAATGTTGACTTGACGGAATTCTGGAAGCGAAATTAATTCTTCTTGATATCATATTACGATAATTACCTTTGATGATGTGTTCTCCAACTTTTACGATGACCGCCTTGTGGTCATCCTCGATGTGGTCTTCTTGTAGTTCTACGCCGATATCTTGCGCGAGAGTGGGCGCGTTTACCAGATTCAAGCCATTCTTCGTCTGGCCGGTTAATACGCCGACCAGAACGGCCGTGTGTATGAACTGTTTTTCCTGCATGCCAGTTCCCACGGTGTGGCTGTGAATGACTGTGTTCAGCTTGCCTTTGAGGAAGCGACCGGCCAATTGACCCAATTTCTTCGATAATTCTATCCAAGGTTCGTTCTCGTTCGTCATAGCCGCAGATAGCACTGGCGCGTTTACGATACCGGTGACTGCGTACTCAGTCGATTTGCCAGACAGAGCCAAGAATTGTTGGGCAATTTCTACCGCTACGCGTTGCTGGGCCTCTGTCGTGCTGGCACCTGCAATCGAATAAATTGTCACCTCCATTGTTTCCATGATTGAGTCGTTCGAAAAATATCGGAGAGAACATGAGCTATTTTATATTTAAATATGGGAGAGAATGTTGAGCTGTTTTATTATAATATTTAAGTAAATTAATGAAATATAAAGTAACATTAAATTGATATCAAAACGATAATTTCGATTGAAGATATTGTTTTCATTTAATAATATCTATGATGCATAAATTGAATAAAGTGTTATATATACCAAGATGAGGCGTGGGGACGACCTTTGGGTGTTTAATGAGCTCTAAAGTGATCGCATTCTTCGGTGGCTCCTCCACGAAGACGTCCAAAGCCGCTCCGCCACAATGGCCGGATTTCAATGAATTCAAGAGAGCCTCTTCGTCAACAATGCCGCCACGTGCGACATTAACGATGTACACTCCTTTCTTACATTTTGCCAGCGTCGTTGCGTTGATCAAATCTGCAAACAATGCACGATTAAGCATATATTATCTACGATACGGCAACATATTTTTCTACCCGTGATTATTTCTAATACGCATATTTCTTTTTTAACTGTAGCATTATTTTTTAAGAGAGATTCCAATCAAGTTGTATAGAATTTAATTAATAACATCTTTATAGCTGCATATAAATAGTAAAAGATTTGTCGTGTTCTTTTTTCGATTAAATTCCCGTCGAAATCAAGTTTCGGAGTCTTTTAAGAAAAAAAGTGGAAAAGTTTTCAAATGAAAAAGCGTGTCGAGACCGTCGCTTTTACTTCGTTAAAAAATTCGAAACTCCACGTAATTTCCTTTTTCGCTTCGACAAACAGCTTTTGCATCAAATTGATAGATTAAGACCGAACGACTCGTACTTCTGGTTTGAGGTATGAGCGGCGTGTGAACAGTGATGTAGTCGGCGATAGGCCATATCTCTTCCAGATTGAGCTTCCTAATGCCGAGCTCGGCAGCGGTCTCGGCTTTCAAAATCGGATCGAAGGCAACGATATTCATGCCGAAGCTCTGCATTCTGTAAGCCACCTCGCGGCCTATGCGACCCATCCCGAGGATGGCGAGGGTCTTGCCAGACAGTTCATATCCGGAGTACAGTTTCCGGTCCCATCGGCCCTCCTTGAGGGATTGTGCGGCTTGCGCCACGTTGCGCGCGAGAGTGGAGATCAGGGCGCATGTTAGCTCGCAAGCGCTGATGCTGTTGCCTCCCGGGGTACTAAAATTATCAAAAAGAACAATGAAGCGCGTTAGATACTGTGTCATCCTCGGTTCGATCGCGAAATAATTGTGATATTTAAGTATAGTTTTTAGCCACCTGTCTTTCATGTCACTCGAGTCTGCTCTCAATTATAAAGTCATTGACAATACAAGATTTTACTAATCCAATAATTTGTGCAGGGCGCTAATTAAATAACTGGTCCAGCGTGAAAGAAAATTTCTTTTACTGTTTGACGAGATTCCAGCAAACCCGTTATACCATAAATTATTGGAGAACCGTTCTGAAAGTCTTTCAGGCGAGAAAGAAGTAGCTTTGATTGAGAGGCAGTCTTAAGCCGTAGCTCTTTTCAAATAGATTTTTATCGGTTTTTTTTCGGACAAATGGGAGTTTCTCGTTTAAGATTGATACGCTTGAGAAGAGCTGTTATGTCAAATCTCCCATAATAAGAAATCTATTCCCTAACGTTGGACTGGTCGAATTGGTGAGGCAGGTCCCGGCAGAGGTATTATTTTTCGCAATAGACACTTTAAATGAAAATTATTTAGACCCTAACATCCTGTCTTGGCTCTCATTCCTTTGTATTTGTGTTTTCACGTCAGAGCACCTTGTGAATTTTATTAATTGCCTATTCCCTGACTTCTTTACTTGTCTTACGGAGCAGACAGACGTGCGAGATCGCATATACGTACTTTAATACGATTACTCCTTTACGTGTGGCGGCTTGAAGATCTATGTTGTCGACGCCGGTACCAGCTCGTCCGACCACACGAAGATGCGGGCAAGCGGCGAAAACGTCCGCCGTAACTTTGGTCTCCGATCGGACGATAAGGGCATCGTGTTTCTGTCGGATAGAGAGGAGAATAATTGAAAAATACAATATATAAATTAATAAAACCTTTTACACAGTGAATCGTTTAGCCTGGCGAATCTGCGTTTGAAAAGATATCAAGTGATCGATTCTCACTTTTGAGACGTGCGCGTATCTACTTTGTTACGTATTTTGTTTTAAAGCCACAAGTCCCGTAATGTTCAGGAATAATAATCCGAATTGAAACTTCTAGCCATAATCGTATTCAGAGATATTAGTGGCGCAAAAGTGCAGCAAGCTTCCGTGTTGCATGGAAAAATTATTCTTATTATTAATATATTTCTTAAATACTCGCGCGAATACCAAGACCCCTACGTTGCATCGCGTACAAGTCCCAAGTCGAATTTACTCGTGCTTTTCGATGTATCATGGAAGTAAAAGTGAGATTTCACCTCTGATCTTTCCGGAGTTCGTCACAGGAAAGAGTTCTGAATTTTTATCGTTCTATCTGCATCAAGTGCAAAATAAGTGATGTATAGACGTGACTTGTATCAGCGGTTCTATGATTAGGAAATATGATTCAGCTCATTGCTCATGGAGACTACTTGTGAACTTGCGCAAACTGGTTACTGAACTTGCGCAAAGTGGAGAGAAATATACTCCGTGCCTAATCAGTACAGGCTTCGGTATAATTATCCGCGTAAAAATGTGGAGATAAGGATAACGGTGGCATGGGCGCCCGAAGTTATTTTCTTCGAAACGATGCATGTTTCTCTAGTCGAAGAAACTCGTAGACCGCGCTGGCTGCACAGACGAGAACAAAGTATCGAAACGACATTACGTAATATACGTAGAACAGGTTTAAAAAAAAACACTTCTTTAATCCTCGTCTCTCTTTGCGAGAACAAATCGAGCGGATGGACATGGAAGAAATGAAAATAACTTTTTAAAAAAAGAAAAGAGTTTAGACAATCGTAACCTCGTTCTTCAATTTTGATAATTCACAGCCTTGTAAATTAATTAAACGTCCACTACTTCGCTTCAATTGACTCGTTTATTTTGTACAGAATCTCCCCTTTCTCTCTTTGTTATAAATAGAGAGAGGATTTTAGACAGTCTTTCTCTTTTACTTAGATTTACTCGCTCTTTACTCCGAATTTTCCTTCTCCGTCCACGTTGCATGTGCCTGGGGACTCTGGGGAGAGACTTTGAAATCTCCAATGTCTCCGACTCAAATTATCGACGCGGCTATGCGCAGAGGTTCTTTAGCTGCGTTACAATTTCTTTTTATCTTTATACCTCAGCTTACGTTACAACGAATGGGTCGCAACACAGGTGCGACGCCGGGATGCTTTTCACTGTACAATTGCGCTTGGATTTTCTACAAAATGAAACGGGGAGGGGGGGGGGACGTGGTCCAGGCCTCGACGGGAGGCAGAGAGAAGAAATTGAGCGCAGCGAGAACTCCAGATCTATTGAGAAATGCGAATGGCGAAGGGATAGAGCAAATCTCCTTGTACGGGCGCCCATGTGTGCGCACATGTGGAGTAAACCGGTGGTACAACGACCCGTTGCAGCTAACCGGTATCCGAGCCGGCCGAGTCAACTGGATATAACCGGATCGCCGACTCGAACGCGGGCAATTAGGAGGAGAAAGAACAAACGAGGATGGAAAGTAACTGACGGGAGAGAGACAGAGAGGGGGAGGAAAAGAGGCGTCCCACATGCTGCTCGCATACACATTACGCTCGTACAAAACTGTTGCATTGGGTCGAGAATGTCTTGCCTTAAGATGGATTGGTGCACCGAGACGCGGAGCAAGATTTGTCTAGGAGAATGGAAATATTCGCTACCTGATTATTTTCAGTTCGGACGGGGATCGAAATGAAATTCAGATTTCGACAATCGGGGGGGAAAATTCATGTATGTACATACATTACGAAATTAGAGAATTATTAGAATGTAAAATGTGAGGACGAGACCGACTTATTTCTCACAGCGCCAGAAAAATGTTATCTCTTTTTCCATCTCGAATTAGTTTCTTTTTGAAAGAGCCTATGTCAAGTTGTAACGATTCTTTTCAGTATAAAAAAATCGATTCGTTGGATCAGAATGTTTAATATTCACAAATAATTATGGTTGGAGCTTCAGATAATTGGATAATAAATTACATAAATATACTGCGATAATAAATTATATAAATTCATAAACAACTAAAACAGTAGCAAGTAGCAGTTGCCCAGTTAACAGAATATCACAATTTAGTTACGTATTTTTATTTATACGTTTAAAAGAGTAATTCTGTCAATTTTATTTCGTATTTGCTTGGCATGGAATAGCACAGGATAATCGTGTTATTTATTTAAGAAAAAAAAACAGCACTCCATTCTTATGTAAGTTCAATCGGCTTATCGAGATCCGGACATGGCGCGTAAACTAAAAAATATTTGTAGATAGTATTTGATTGGCAAAATCGGTTTAGCGGGTCAACAAAAACGAGGCCCATTTATTCACCAGTGAAACACAGTTTTAACTGTAGTCGCGCGCTTTTACGCATTTACTTCGCCGTGAAAATATATTTGTCATCTAATAATGAAAGAACGGAAAAAATGTGACTTGTGTGCTTGAAAAATATTCCTGCGTATCTCTTCCGCGCGACGGGGGGTCCATTATCATAAGTGTGTTTGTCTTCCGCACGAGTGCCAATGGAATCTAAGATTATCGATGCATCGGTATCTTCCCATCTGACACGTGCTATTTTTCAGTCGATAGCTCGAGTCATCAACAACCGCGATTTCAATTGCCAATCACTTCTATCCTTGAGGAAAGATAGATCGCGCGATCTTTCGGCGATTAAATCGTCATTGTCTATAATTTTATTCACAAATGTGGATACACTTTACGAATCAATATCTGACAGTGAGATGAAAAGCACGTTGGATACTTATGTATAACGATTATACTTCATCGCATTTGGATTCTGCTGCTTATCGTTCTTTTTCGTTCGGCTTATCATTAAAGTGCCCTAGCTTTAATGCTTATCACATTCTATCTTGAAACGAACAAAACTTGAAAGTTTCATCAATACAGATATTAATTTATCAGTACAGGTTTTTGATAATAAATGAATCCAAATGGATACTTATACAGTTGGATTCTATTGCTTGTCGTTTTATTTCTGCTTATCATTAAATCTATTGCTATCATTCTAGCTCGAAATCTTGAAAGTTTCGTCAACATATTTATTAATTCATCAACGCTGATATTATTGGATAATAAATGCTTCCTCAATAAAAAGTTTCCTTCTTAGATCACGCGGATATCTCTTCGATCGTTACGATTCAATAGTCGTTAAAATAGAAACAATAATTGAGTCTACGGAATCAATGGCTGTGCAACTGGTTATTCATAAATGCTGCCTTTAAAATAAGTCAGATTTGAAATTAGCTTTACAAGTTGAAAAGTGTCGGTAGAAAAGTTCCAAAGAAAGTTATAAAAAGACCGATATCTTCGATGCGGAACAATGTCAATGTTGTCTCGCGATTAAAATTTAGAATAGTTTAAGAATTTAGAGTCGGAGCGTTGTGGAATTTGGAGAACGGGGAAAGGATCGGAATAGCCGTTTAAGTAAATTCCTTCAAGTTTTAGACTTTAAATTGCGTTCTCTTTCCATAAAGATCGCCCCGTTTTTACAAGCAAGTCTTCCACGTCTTCGGATATCGAGTGGAATTTATAACTTTGCAAAGACGAACTCTCATCGCGATTCCCTTTGGTTTAGTAAATCTCAGGAAATTGCTTGCGATTTCACGTAGTTTTTGCGGCATTAAATTCACTTACCTGTAGCTCGTTGATTAGCTCATCCTTCGGTAGCTTGTATTTCGTGGTAACCGGAATACCGTACTCTGCGAGCAGCGCCCCGCAAGACTCGTCCACGGGATCGCTTATGAGAACGCTTCTGAAGTTGACAGACATGTTATCCTTGAACAAAAGGAGTCCTTGAACACCTCGTTTATTTGAATAGAGAAGACCGCGTGATTCGCAACAGCGCGATATTACGACTGAACGTTTACACAAATCGCTCGATTAAATTGCCATTTTTCATTACTGATTGCTAATAATTGCTATGTTTTCTAAAAATTCTAAGTGGATATGCGAGCGTCGTTTTCTAATTGGTTTGCAGAGGAGATTTTGCGATCGGTCGGCTGATCGAAACGTCCGTAATTGGTAGCAAGTACGCACTTGTAACAATTGACGAGCATCGCGAACATATTCTTCGACTTTTGTCAGATATAAATTGATATCGACGGCAAACAATTATCGGTTGCTAGGTCGAATATGTATTGTAAGCATAATGATTGCTGATACTCGAAGCCATGTGTGTGTTTATTTCGTATTTCAATGATTAATTATAAGTTATTTTTAAATATTCGTAATCGATTATCTAAAGAAATAAGATGGAAAAATTTAACAAGTAAAATAGATATACGTGCCACCTGTTCTAAATGTATTATCACAAACCTAATTTGCTCTTTTAAGAATTTATTTATATTGTTAGCCAAGAAACCCTTACAGAAAATATAAGCGAAATAATTGTTAGAAAATTACTGTAGTTACAACAGTGATTTCAAATGATTCCATTACTAAACTCTAGTAATGATTCTGTAAGGGAAATTTACCTAATGGTGTTTCTTATCGTTAATAATAGAAAGTTAAATAAAAATTCTATTAAAATCTCTCTCGAAAAGCACCGAATAATATGCATTATTAAAAAACTTAATTAAGGAGAAAGGGAAAAAGTCTTTCGTTTTCAATAATTTAAATCAAATAACTATTAGAAATTGTATCTAAGTTTCACAAAGAACAATTCTGCGTTTAATTTATGTCAACTGTAGGACGGCCAGTATTTTTCACTTTAGAACTAATATTTTGATATTTCCAATGTGAAAAGAAAAATAACATTCGTATACTTTGATTAGACACGGATGTGATGGGATAAACAGTAATATTTGCGAAAAATTGTGAAACGTAATTAATCGTTATATTTCCTGTTTCCGCATGTAACATCGAGCTTAATAAAGTATTATTCGAAGCAATAACTCGAAATTGCCGATTTACTCGCTGAAATTAGCACGTTCATTGTTGCTGTCAAAACAGGACGTCGCTAGTTAATGACAGTTATATAAGCGAAATAGTTGCACACTTGTTTCCAGCTTGGAAAACCAGAAATCCTTCTTTGCCAATCTCAACGTATTTAAATCAAATATTTCATGTCGAATATAAATTTAAATAAACATAAACTACAAGATAATGTTTTTGGAGCGACGCTTGACAGACGTTACAAAGTCATTATACCCGCGAAATTTTATGAAATCCCGGCTTCTGGGGCCTCTCTTCATACAACTTTATCGTAAGATAATGGCCGCAAAATGCAAATTCAAAAAGCAATAACGTCCTGAAAGTGTCACGGTTTTGAAAAATTTCCCCTAAAATTGTATCGCCCTTACGTTACTTCGCAGAAATATGGCCACCGGCGAGATCTGCCAGACGCTTCGCGAATTTTTCTTGCGTTACATTTTTACGCACACGATAACGACGACGGAAATCCGAGGTCAGCAACAAGTGTCAGATTTTCCCGGAGCGACTTTCCGTGCGCGGCATGATCAACGAGGCGAATTTGAATATGCGGGACCTACCTCTTTGGTGTCTCTCCTCTTACTTTGTGGAAAAATTCGCAGCGGAGTGGCTTCCGGAGATGGACGCGGACAATAGGGAAAACCTCGAGGTCTCGTGGCTGATTTCGTGTGTACGGTGGTCTAACCGTAAACTGACTCGTTGTACTGTCATTTTATCTTCTTATAGTGGAATCCCCACTCACGAGGCGATCGAGTGCCAGGAGTAAATTGTTGACGGGACTCCCTCTTCCCGGCCGTCCGCTCGCCGGCGAAAACCGTTCGAGTGTGTAACGCGTTCGGTGTCACGAATGCCCTCACCTTGCTTGGATAGGCGTTTTCAAAGCGCGCTCAGATAGTTATTATATCTATTTACAATTTAATCTGTTGACCCCGCGCGCATTTTAGCCGGAAACTTTCCATCAATAACGTTCAGTTTTGAGATTTCCGATAGTTTCAACGTAACGAAATATCGTGCGTCATTCTTATCGGCTGTTTTTGCAGATATTCAGAATTAGGTGGAAAACTGACACATAAAATGAGATAGATTAAAATTAAAAAGTGAAATGAACTGAAATAATTGGAAATCGAAATGAAAAAAATGGGATGACGGCAACTTGTGACAAAGTAATTAGGTGACGAGTGTTAATGGCATATTCTGTAAACGTAAAGTATATAAGAGAAATGAGAGAAATAACTGATATTATTTCATTTAACGTATGTATTAGATATATGAGAAATGAGAAATAAAGGAAATTATTTTGTTATTTACCTTAACATTTTTTACCATCTTATTCTACCCTTTATCTTATTATTTTGTTTAATGTTAAAAATGTATTTAAACTTGACATATGATTTACAACGATATAAAATATAATTAAGGAAATCCCTGAGGTTTTATTAGATAATCTTATTTATATACTTATCACTTTTATCAGAATTTTTATTTAATCAATGCACCAATTTCAGTAAATAATTTGAGAAAAGTGATTATGGTCCATATTGTTATCAAAAGCTTTATCGGTCATTGATGGTACTTGACTTTAACCAGATAATACTCGAAATTTTGGTCACAAAGAATTGCCTTTTAAATAAAGCGCGACGAATAGAACCGACGTTACAGACTAGAAATCGACATATTTTCCATTGCGTAACTATAATTTTTACTGTGAGATATAATAATTGTAATATATAATTTTACTATCTATAGTCGTATAATATATCCTAAATAATACGTAATTTAATGGTAAGACGATTTATTTCCAGATCCGTAATTTTAAATAATATTACAAATTTCTCTTTCACTCGCGTTCGTTTCTTCAATTTCAGAAAAATATTAATTTGAAATTTAAACAAATGCAAATTCGCGTTTATTGGTACCTCTGATATGTATTCTTTCTCTTTGCATACAAAAATTTATTAAGGTCTCTTCGTTTATTTCTTGACTTATTCCTTATGCATGGTGAACTGTAAAAATAATGGCATTATTCCGGTTTTTTCATAAAAAACTGCTCTTTCAGCTAATTTGCAAAATCAATTCCATTGGGAATAATTATTTCCGCAACGGTAAATTGAGTCGCTAAGTAGACTTAATTTTTATCTGACTTTTAAAATTAAAAATTTTTAGCTTAATAAAATCTCTCTCTCTCTCTCTCTCTCTCGTTATGATATAAATTTGTATTCCTTAACGATTGACGTTGGAATAGTTGAGATATTTTAATTTTATAAATAAATGCTGTTTATTTATTCTTAAACATATCAAAGATAATAATATAATAATTAAAAAAAATATTAATGTAATGCTCCTTTTTTATTTCATTGAATGTACGCATATTGCACTTGAACTTTGAATTCGAATTTAACTCTTATTGTCATGTTGAAATAAAAGAAATTAGATCTATATATCTAGACAATCTTTCAAACCATACTCGATGGCTATTTATATTAATCCTACGGTCACACAGGACTTCCGCACTCGACTGAATGTTGTAAATGGAGATGTAATCGGGAGACACGAGCGTGTAATTAATTAACGTAAGGAGAAAAAGGAGGAAATAATAAACGGCCTCTCTCGAAAGCTCGTTATATCTCGGTGCTATCGACCTGTCGGAGTCGCGGAATAGGCCCCGACTACTTCGTCGACGAAATCCGGCGGGATTCACCCGCCAGTCGAATTTGCAAAAATGATAGTATCACGTTTCTGCGTCGCGGGCTATAAAAAGGCGGGTGTTATCGCGCCCCGTATTCGTTAAAGAGCGTGTGCAGTGCAAAATATATTTTCCATCGTGCAATATGACGAGGTCACGCCCGGGGTGCATGGCAAGTGATGCAACTGTCGCTGCTGCTGGGGGTCCGCGATTCAGCAATAAATAATCGCATTACAGCGCGATATCTCCATGACTCTTTGCTGGTGCAATCATCCCGCGTTCTGTCTCTCTTTCTTGTTTTTTTCTTTCTCGGCTCTGCTCGTCGCCTTCTCTCTCGCATCCACGCTCTCTCAACGCAAACAACTCAATTCTTGCTATTCCTCTCCGGAGGCTGATAACGCGATTGCTGCACGATGAAAGCACGGATCTTTGGCGTGTGTTTAGAATAAGGTTTCAGATGTTCGCCGATCGTAATTCAAATAATATGCGGCGATAATTTCAGATGATAATTGAACGAGAAACACTTTGTAACGCGAGTCTAAACGTTGAACGGGGAAAAAGCTCCTCTGAATTCTGCGCTGTGTGAAAAAACCGTCCCGGGTAGACTCTACTTCTGGTTTGAAATAGGTAGATGAAACGAATTATCTATTAAATTAACAACGTAACGCACAGCTTATCGCGCGTGTTTCTGGCAATTAACGTTCAAATTGCGGTCGTGGTAAGTTAACGCGGTAACTTTTCCGGTATTTGTACAATTTTTACTCGAGCGTAGTTTACTGAGTTGAAAAAGGTATACGAGATCCATTCAGAATTTCGATAAAATGTTATGACACGAGCGTATCTTGTTAGCGGCTCTCACAATCAGACCTTTATTCATCAAGCGATTTATTAACCGTTGTGAGCTGCACCTGCAGCTTAATTTTTACTTGACATCCACACAAGTGTAATCATCTATGCAAATATTTTCTAATCGGCGCGATCTCTCCGTATCATGTTTTTTCTACGTAAATAGCACAGCTGATTTCACGTATATTTCGCAAATACGTGTTTTGTTTGAAAAAAATTAATAAAAATGGAGACATTATCAGTACACGTCTATATTGTTTTCGCATGTCAACCAAAATAACGCGTTGCTTTGTGCGTCACTAAATGGAGATATCGTCGGGCGTCATCAAGTGGCAAGAAATCATCTGACTCCGGTACCCCCAGCGGACCGCTTATCTTATCAGCGTGGAAAATAACTCCGTTGTAACGACCCGCCTTTGCCACATGACAACAGGTCGCGGACTAGGAAACGTCACACACTTTTCTACCCACTTCGTCCGGAGATATTATCGGAGCAAACGTTGATTCGTCAAAAAAGTATGGGTCGTTATCCGGCCGCGCACAATGGGAGGCGGTCGGGCCGAACCGGATCGAACGGCGATCAATCTGGCTCCGTATATAACAATTATTCCGGTAAATCGACGGCTCGCTTGCCTGGGATGCCCCCAGTTACTTTAGTTGCGTTCTCTTTCCGAGAATGCAACTCCCTTTCGCGATACCGGCATAACAAACAGCAACGTGCAGGCGGAAGACCCGTTCTGCGATATTAACGTGATGCAGCGATTCTCAAATTTTCCTTGAGTTTGGAAATTTCGAGCGAGCAGAAAACTTCCGGAGCGTTTCATTTACATAGTTGTAGAAGAGATAGAGAGAGAGAGAGAGAGAGAGAGAGAGAGAGAGAGAGAGAGAGAGAAAGGAAGACACTTAACTAAATAAAAATACAATACCGTCTCGTGCAACACGAAAGTTTTCAATTATGGAGTAATGTGTACTGCAGCGTTTGACTTTCGGTCTTGTAAAAACGGATTTATCTTTTCTCACGTTGTTATATCACGTTTATTTTATACATGAAATTTCGTATTTTCTTAGACAAGTCTTGGGGCACGACGAAGCGACTGTTCAAGAAACGCTCCTGCTAATACGAATGATGATTAAATTGCTATCTTATTGACAGAGGCAATTGTAGACATTAGACTTAGATATTACGAATCCAAACTCGACAGTTTATCGGCTTATGTCCACTCTAGTCAATACAGTTTAATTTAAGTCCCTGTTTAACTAAGTTTTTATCTTTTTCCCATTTCTGAGAGTAGAAAATGGTAAAAGTAAGTTAAACCGAGAACGAAGCTCATCTGTATCGGTAGAAATGGGCATTAGATTAAATTCTTTTGCTAGAGCGATTAAAAAGGTGCAAAGAAAAAATTAGATAACTTAGACACGAATATGTTATTAATTTCCCACTTTTCAAACCACTTCCGACCTGAGAATTCATTCGCTCTGAACAAAATGAGATACCTACTTATCGATAAAAAGAAAGATCTCATGTGTTCACGAGAAAACAAATACACAAAATTGCAAATATTACATGAGAACAAAAGAGGAAATGTATTTCCCCTTCGCAAAGGGGTCTGCAGAAAGAGAAAATATCGAGAGGAACGATATTAACGGAACATTTTATAAGGATCAGTCCCCGGACTGTGCTGAGAACATCACTCGATCCAGACCGTCGATATCGCGAAATGTTTTGCGCTTCTTGTGTCACGAGAGTCGATCGTATTTGCGGTATCCCACGAGCAGTCGCTCGCAATTCCCGTACGTTCCTCAGGGAGAACCTCTCGTTCTTTTCAGAAATCCTGGCGCTCTCTCAGCGATCATAGCACGAGACTGATAAAGTTATTGAGCGTTATAAAACGTTGCGGCTCCAAGCTCCATCCGAGAATCTCCTGCGGATGATTAATGCTCCTGCGTCTCTCATCTCGGAAAAACTATATATTTGCGTTATTAAACGTGGAAGCTATTTAACGCCGTGGAATAGGACGCCTTCTGTTGTAGAAGAGCGAAACACTTTATTGCTCGATATCAATTATTTCAATAATGATAAAATAGTTTAACATTCGTAAGTATTAAAGTGAGGTCACTGAAAGGCCGAGTACCTTGCGAGATATCTATACTTTATTCCGATACGACGGCGATTGACGTGCAACACGAAATGCCTCGTGTGAAATA